TGCAAGCGAGAATATACAGCACATATGACTGTGAAGAGTTCAGCTTCCACACAAGCATGACCACATATATTGCATAAAAGAGAAGCGATGAAAGTATGAAGCATACAGGACGACTATGACAAAAATAAAGAAGAAAATAAATTATCATTTGAGTAGAAATTGAACTCATACTTACCAACCTATTGAACGTCCAATGTGCACGTGATGGAACTATGCAACCAATTTAAATATTATTTTGTGTTGATCAATATCAGTAGTATGGATGTCGAAATCGATAAAGTTCATTATTCGGGTTTCGTATTAGAAAATAGGATTCGATTTTTGTCGTTTATTCACAAACCAAATTGAACTTTTCTTCATTTAAAATAAAATCACTACAATATAATTATGTACCTATACCGTCAATTCACCAAGAATACTTCTAACAAGTTTTTTCCGATTATATTTCTATTGCTTATCAGCATACTGAAACAATGTTTATTTGAGGAAATGATAAATTTGACAAAGCCTTTAGGTCAATATTCGACATTTTCTTATTAGGTATAGTTCTATCGTTCGTCCTGTATATCTCTCAATTTAGGCACATTCAAGATATTTTCAGTTAGTCAATCAGTTTACAGAAATCTTTTTTCTTAGATGCCGAAGAATACTAACTGACCTCTGTGTATATTACCATCAATAAATGCTTCGGAAGCATCAGTCCAGAAAGCTATTGATATTCAGAGTAGACGATTTGGATTAATCATCTGTTTCAATAGTTGTACTGTGAAATCGAATGATTTCCGTATAAGACTTTTAGAATTATCCTCTACAACAAAAAAAAACTAAATATATAAATAGTATAGAAAACACATGAAATTACCTTCTAGTTTACGTTTCTGATTAAGAAAAATGACAACAAATATGATGGATACGAAAATAATACCGACGAACGTAGTATAGAGAATATAAATATGAACAAAAACAAATAATTTGATTCAAAAAATATCATTATTTAGTTTTAATTTACCGTTGTAGGTGATATGTGATTGCTATCATCGTTTGATTCATGTGCACTGGTTAAGTAACTTGCTCCACATTTTTTCGAATCATTTATCGCACTTTTATCTATGTTTCTCAAAACCAAATACGCCACTAGATTACCCCAAATTTGAGCTTCAATTACATAAATCAATAAATATATTGTTAAATTAATTGTCTATAAAAAAGATTTACTAGTTTGATATGCCGAAAAAAAAAATACCAAAATATTTGTTCATTGTCTTATCATCATAATGATGATTATTTTCATCAATACCGAGTATGGTGATGTAAGCATTTTGTGCTGTCCACATGCTCACACGAAAAATACCACATATGGTTGCCACTAAACAGTAGCATTTGTATGGACTTTGTTAGAACTTATTGATACACTTACTCGGATACAATAATGCTGCTTTAGGATACATGTTAGCTGCGATATAGGCAAGAACACCAATTTTACTAATAACAATGGTCCATTTATAACCAGAAACATAAATAAGTGGCGTAGTGAGAAAAAGAAAAACAAATATTGAAGCAACCAAGCTGAGTACCAATGAATAGAGATCAACATCGTTTTCTGTATTGACACTCGATTGTAAATTGGCGACAGCAGTAAACGAAGTATATATACAGACGAGTGCAAGACAAATTATAGTAAAATTTCGCTTTTTTCGTTTTGGTCAAAATCCTTTGTGTTTTCGTTTTTAGCATCGGTTATTTAATCTACAATTCAAGATCCTATGGTTTTTTTCTGCTTGAACTCCTCTTGAAATGTTATCATAACAAATAGGTTGTTCACTCGGTGAGAATCGCAAAACTAAATCATTGATTCTTTTTCTTAACTGATTATGAGACGAATAAAATTGAATAAGTTTATAATTGTGCTTTCTCCTATTTGTAATGATTGTTCTTCAATCTTATTTTTGAAGTAAATTCATGTATGATGATATTTTTTCATCAGTTCTCCAAATTTTAGTTCTTTTTTTTGCAATAATCAAATCAGTTCGATCCAGAAGTATAGTACTGTAGAAAAAAAAACTGACAATATTTCTGCTTTTACACTACAAAAGAAGAATAAAAGTCTCTTCTATCGGTTTGAAGATCTCTCTATGTTCATATCTATATTCATACTCTTGTCCAGTTGTTTCTTCTATTGGAGTGGTCAAAATATTGATTGATTCGGTCAGTTCTTACAACTATATTTCAGTTAACTTCCAACTCAGACAATGCTAACGTTTTTCAGACTGAATAAGAAATCGACTAGACAAGAATGATTTAGTAATATCGGCATTTTTTCTGCGTTCATTTGCACAGGACATTGCAAGATGATATACATTTTCACTATTTTAATATAAACATTTAGAAATTAGTTCTATCTATTGCAACTAGTTTTCTCATAGTACAGTTGATATAATTTATTTGACAACAAAATCAAATATGTATTGTATTTTCTAGAAAAGTCCTATGTAAGGCAAACGATGTTGATGATCTTACAAATAGTTCGTAGAAGTTAAATTCTATAATACAGTTTTATTATCTAATTTACGCCATATACGATCAGAAAGATATATTAATAAAATATTTCTTCTGTTATAAGCTTAGATTTACCTTATACGAATATGATGTGACTTCATATTATTTGAAACTATTTATTTTGGCTGAATATTTGTTGAGCTTATGATCAGATACAAAGTAAAAGAGTAAAATACCAAGTGTTAATATATCATTTTCTGTATGCCGCTCTTACCTGATAAATCAAAAAGAATAATAATGCACTATTATTGAAAAGAAAACACATATTTGTTATAGTTCTTTATAATCTTGTGCACGTGCTTCTTAGACAATGTTTAGCAAAAGTAAAAGCCAATTAGGTGCAAAATAAACACGAACCAATGAGTAAAAACCAAATATGCATGAATGAATGCAAATGAGAGATGAGGCACTATTAATTGCTCTGTCTTTGAAGAAGAAGCGACCAATTTCGCTTTATAAACATTTTCATCGATATAACGTTCATCTTTTTTTCTTATGATCACTTTAGTTTCATCTCTCTTTTTTTTTCAAAATACATACATAATGATAAATGACTAGCTTCTCTACTAAAATAGTCTTCTATTACTTAGTTGTTACATTCGTATTTGTTTTAACTTGCAGATCGTCTACACCGTTTCTATCGACTAAGTTTTTGCTTATCTTGATGGTATGGGTGTGATGAGCTCCTACAATACAATTGTATTTTATAATTTGCTAATAAATTTTTATCAAGTGGCAAATTATAAGTAACGGAAGATTCACTAGAAAGAATAAAAGGGTATGGAGTTTCGGTGTGAGTGGAGAGGGTAACAACACTCATATCTGCATATACATCGTTTTCAGTGGCTGAATTTGAGAAATTAATTATTTTAGATATTCGTTCATTTTCATATTCGAGAACTCTTCTGTATTAGTATCTTTCATAGCTGAAAAACACGGTAGTTTCGAAGACTTTAACAGTATTTTGAAATCCTTTGCTGTCGACGTGTTCCATTTGATAATAGAAAACACAAACTTTTGCTGATTGACATACATTTCGATGATCTTTAGAGACTGTTTTATAATTTTATTCAATCTTTACTCTCAGCACATCAAATTCTTTTTCTGCATGGTCACCTACAACGAAATAGAAAATAGTTAGAATTCTTCAGTTTTCGACATGGGCAAACGTCACGGAGTTTCATTGTTTTACATTGTGATACCTATATCTCATCAATAATCAATGAAAACTCTCTGAAATTTTTATTATAAAGACAAACTATTTAGATTGATAACCAGTAAAAGTTTCATTGATTTTTCTTTAGTCAGACCTGAGTTATTCAAAGGATATTGATCGTCAAGAAATTTAAAAAAAAATTGAATTACTTTTTAGAGTGCGGTGAGGAGTTTATGATTTTACTTCCAATAAAGCGACAAACAAATAAATGTTCAATATGAAAGTTGTTCAGTTTTCCACAAGTTTTCAGAATATCCAGTCATCTTTTAAAAATCATAATTGGATCAAATAAAAAAATGAAAATTCTGTCCGTCATAGAAGTTCGTCTTTTTTAACGTTTTAATGAGGAAGGTTTAAGAACTTCACATTTCAAATCGTTATAATAAAAACTAATCTTTTTTCTAGCCTCTAGTTTTAATCTCACAATGAAATCACATTATAGAACTTGTTCATTTTTCAGACAAAAAGAATACTATGTAACAAAGTGAAAACTATACTTTTTTGATGAAATCTGTTTTTGGACACCTGTCGGAAGAAAGTTGGGATTTATGTCACGTGTCTGCTAAGTATCTCTGAGGTTATAACATGTTTGATAATCTATCGATGATGCGCTTTCGATTGTAGAGACTTTCTTCTTTTTACTTTTGTGGCTTTGAATCCTTTCCACCAGAGGATGACTAACGACTGGTGATGCCGTTTTATATTTGAGTTTTAGTCTAATTACGAAAATACTTTATGGTAATTAGTCGTTATTTAGTGATATATTTTCAGACGACAAAGTTTGAATAATCTAAAATTTTGTTTGTTCCAAACTAAGAGTAAATTTTCTTCCTATGAAAACTGACGCTAATTGAATATTGAAGAAAAAACGATGTGTATCTGATAATGTTTGTATATGATTGAAGAAAGGAAAATGTTCGCGTAGATTCTTGGACGTGATCGTATATTTAGAGATGATCGATGGACCATGTATTATCTATGTCGACATTAGTTAACATAAATTAACATGAGCCTGTGATTCTTGTCAAGTATCTCATGAAATCTCGTAATGATATATTTGAAGTGGCTATGTATATTATTACTTCTGAGAGAAAGATAGAACTAGAGTTCGAGATAGGATTTCAAAATATTTATTCATTATCAAATAAGAATTCGAGATTAACATGAGACGAGAATAGAAAATGAAAGTCAGGAAATAATAAACAGCGTTCTTTTCTGTGCTTCATATTTAACAAACAGTGCTTACTATTGAATTAAGCATCGAATGACGACGTCGCCGGCCACTGTTCAATGCTACCGTTGAGTCTGCTGTCGTGGCAATTGTCGTTGTTGAGTCTACCGCTGTTGACTCTATTGGCGTTGAGTCTGCTATCGTTGACGCTATAGTCGTCGAGTCTGCTGCCGTTGACTCTGTGGTCGTCGAGTCTGCTGTTATTGACGCTGTAGTCGTCGAGTCTGCTGCCGTTGACTCTGGTGTCGTTGAGTCTGCTGCCGTTGACTCTGTTGTCGTCGAGTCTGCTGTCATTGACGCTGTAGTCGTCGAGTCTGCTGTCGTTGACGCTGTAATCGTCGAGTCTGCTGCCGCGATAATTGTTGTCGTTGAGCCTGCTGTCGTGGTAGTCAGATCATTGCTGCCGTTGTCCCCATTGCCACCGTTATCCCCATTGCCACCGTTATCCCCATTGCCGCCATTGCCACCATTGCCACCGTTGCCTCCGATATCTGGTAGATCAGGAAAGTCGGGCAATTCAGGTTCATCCGGGGTATCAGTGGGTTCGCGCTGCTTTGTAGTCAAAGATTGCGATGGACTTGGTGTAGGAGGACGAATAGGTGTTGGCACAGTAGCAGGCGATCTCATTGGTGACACTCGTGATGGTTGTGTGGGTCCGTAAATAGACGGAGTGGGTGGGTTAGGTTTCGAAGATGGTGATGGCGGCGGACGTGGGACTGGCACTGGTGGCGACGGACGTGGAACTGGTTGGGGTGGTGGCGGGCGTGCAACTGGTTGTGGTGGTGGCGGACGTGGAACTGGTTGTGGTGGTGGCGGTGGCGGACGTGGAACTGGTTGTGGCGGTGGCGGTGGTGGTGGTGGAGGCCGTATTATTATAGGAGGAGGACGAAAACCACCGAATAATCCGAAACGCCTCGATTCAATAGCATCGTCATCTGCAAGAACACGATTGCTTGTGCTCACTTGGAGAATGACAATACAGAAGAAAAGCAAGAGAGTCGACATACTGATTGTGACTGTTTATTAGTGTGATCGTTGAATATGAAACAGCAATATGGCGCTGATCATTTATATATACCTCTCGGTCGTGAGCTTCCTGTTTTCTACTTATTCGTTTAAATTTCGACGGTTTCTACATCATTGAAATCGAGGTAGAACTATTTTTGCAATTATTTCTTCGACGCCATAGAGTGCCAGTTAACTAGAATAATTTATTCTCAATGTCACTGATGGGTATAACCTACTTTAAACTGCGATCTGTTTTTTTCAATTTTTCATTCGATATTATAGGGGCTGTACGTAAAAAGGAAGAACTACTTCCTATGTGCACAGAAGAGAAAATAATTCGAGTGCAGCAGAAAATAGAACGACAACATTCTTAAGCAATCAAAACGAATGAAAATATAAATGTTTGCAGTGATTCGAACTGTTTTTACGACGCAATATGGTAGAAATGAGTGATCACTTATGATGACAATTAAGAAAGCGCTTGATTAACCTCTGCGATAAAGCAGCTTCCTGCCAACATTTCTGTGAGTGACACCATGGTACCAATATTTACGTCAGTTGCAGATGCAGATGTTTGCTTGGGGACCACACTCGAATCCAATCTTATCCGGATTCGCTTGGTTTTGAATAAGTTTGGAATTTGAAAATTCTCTTTTTTTATCAAGTCCTGGTTCGGATGTGAGTCGAGGTTGAGATAGGGATTACAGCTCGTTAGATCCAGAACTTTTGAACCCGAACTCGGGCACAATTTCTTGATGTTTTTCAAATCCTATTCAGACTCGGACTGACTTCAATGACTTTGCTCAGAGCCGAGCTTGAACATGAACCCGTTTAATTAAATTTTTTCGGACTCGACTGGAATCATTTGTGATCCATACTCATAAAATCTTCACTCAAATTTTAAAATTCTTCTATATAGTCGCTCCAAAAACACAAGATGCTTTTTTAACTTGTTTATATCCAGCAACTAATACACTTCCATGGCGTCAAACAATAAAAAGAATTTCATCAATTTCATCAATTTTATAACAAAAACACAAAAAAGAGGCATTTCTGATGGTGAAATGGGCGACACAATAGCTGTTTTTCAAATTCATTGATGCAATGGGACATTTTAATTAAGCAAATGCATTGAATTTGCACTTTTTATTACAATCATGCGATGATATTAATGGAAATGTCTATTTTAATCAATGAATTTGAAATGCATCATTTGTTTTTGTACGTTTCATCATTTTAATGCTATTTTTTTGAATTTTTCACTCTTCGCACCTTCATATTTCTCAAGTCATATTGGCGATGATTGTACAAGAAGATGAACATTATCAACTGTTACTTTTCGATTGGCAGCTGCCAAGGCACAAATGGAAGCCGACTCATACCTAGGAGTGTCACATTAGCATCAGCATTAGCATTAATCATTAAGCCTAATGTTTTAGCATTATCTAGACTTTAAACCTGTATCTTTTCCGAGGCAATCTGGCATCATGTCTGTAATTTTTGTGAAACTCACATATATTGTCGAACAAAATAATGATTTCAAGGTTAAATGGAAGTTTTCGCGATTTCTCTTAAGTTCTAGCAATTGGTTTAGCAAGATGAGGGCCGAGGTCATTGAGCATATTTTCATAACGATTGAGATGGACAGGCTAAAATTGCTTGCAGATAGTTATCTAGTAAAATGTCAACGAGCAGGTGGATATTAACGATAATTGGGTACATTTTCCTAACGATGGGTAAAGGGACGTCAGGAGTCACGGTGCATGGATCATTTTGGGGCCTTCTAAAATCTTCAGAAGCATTTAATAATGTAATATGGGATTTGGGTCTGGGGATGGGGATGGGTTAGAAGAAGACTGCACTCACAGGTACATTCAAAAGTGAGGTGATGGAAATGAATTTGAAAGGGTGTAGATGTGAGGCAGAGGTCTCAATGTGCTGGGGTCGGCTGATTCGGAATTGCGATGAGAGCGCCCATAGTTTCGAATCTTGAATAAAGTATAAAATTTTCAAAAGATATTATGCATTCCGACTAACTTTTTTTTCCCGAAGACCTCATGTAATTCTTCCATTGGCTAAAACATTTCTGCAATGGACAACAAATATATAAAGTAAAAGATAATATTGTTGTTATGTTAAAACAGTTTCTTTATATTTAATTCCTACTGAACATTGGCAAGCATCAATCTTTGTTAATACTTTTTCTTCAACGATAGATGCTGGTTCAACATCACCTAAAAAAACAGTATACATCAAAATAGATCGAATTTCTTTTGAAACAAAAATCATCGACAAATGCTATTCTTAAAAATGAAAAAGCAAACACATCTTTTAAGGTGAAGATTTTTGATGTCCCAACTAGAAAATACTGGAGAATTCAAGAGAGTTGAAGACTTTGCAAGTTGTCGAATATGTGATCGAGCATTTGTTTACACATCAACTCGTATACTCGAAATATTCTTGTTCACTCATGTGTTCATAGTTTATTAAATGCAATGTGATGAATGATCTATAGGTGGCTCATTTTTCAGAAAAAAAAACCATAGACCGATTTCCTTCGATCTGATCCAGTTAATTCAGACATCTAGTGTAGATTCGAGCTGTTGATATGGATGGCGATATGGTTATCTAGAGTGTAGATGTGTGTATGTGTTATTTTGCTTATGAGGGAGGTCTCTTAGCAAATGCAAATGTACAATATATCACAATAGTCATTTTTTCTGTTTATTTCGAAAATAATTCATATTTCGGAATAAAAAAAAACTTTATTCATAATCAATTTTACCACCATAAATAGGTTTTTTGTCAAAACTATCATATTTTATTTCTAAGGAACACGGGTTAAGAAGTTTTTCCGATTTGATCAAAGTTTCTAGTATTTTTGTTTCCTTTTGATTTATAGATGCAATGCATAATAAAAATAAATGATTAAGTCTTTCATTGATATTTGATAATAAACATCGTAAAAATGATTCCAAATTTTTGTCTGATTTATCAATTGTGAATTGCTGTAATTGAGGACAAAGATTAACCAAAAATTTTATTTCGTTTAATGTACATTGATATCCAATTATCATATGTTGAATTTTATTTGTTTGAGATATTAATCGAAAAGCATCACTTTGTTGAATTGATATCAAATTTGAATCCTGAAATGACGTGCTGCATCTAATTTCAAAAATATGAAGATTAGGTATACATTGTAAAAGTTTGATTATTTTGTAAAAGTCATCATAGTAAGAACGAAGAACAAATTTAGTTAGTTGATTCACCGGTAAAATATTATTAAGATTATTAGAAAGAAGATTTTTACTTTGCTCAGTAGAGCTAAACACTATAATGAGTTCAGTTACATTTGGAAAATATTTTTGTAAATTAATCATAACTTTTTCAGTTCGAATTTCAACTTGATGAACAAAATTCATTATCGTTTTTCGATTATTTATATGAATATTTTTGTCTTTTTCTTCGTATAATATATATTGTTTTCTCCTTAAAAGAAAAAACTAATAAAAAAAGACAAAATAAATGAAATTTTGTTTACCTGTATGGATTCGTTGAATAGAAACTGAGAAAATTTTGATCTCGTTTTTTATCTACATAATACTCAAAAAACCATTGCCGTTTGAACCAAAATGAAGAATTGAATTTATTGATCATCGTAATAAAATCGACAATATTTTCAGCCCAATTTAAAGTATTAGAAATCAAAATATTAAAAATTCGTAAATGTGGCATATGAGATAAGATCAATCTTTGCTACCGATTAGCATTTAAATAAGCTGCACTAGAATAATTGGAAATATGTAATACTTGAATTTGATTCAAAAGAGATCGACTCATGGATTCTAATTGATCAAAAGGAATATCTAAGCGATTGAGAGACACATGCGTCAAATGTGATAACACTGCTGAATATAATTGCATTTGTGTAGTAGGAGAATAATATTGAGAATAAATCGACAAACGATTAAGATGAGGAACATATGATAAAAGATTATTAAGATCATTCAAAACATCTGTACTGTTTAAAATGAAATGTTCAATAGGACTAAATTCTTTCGTTGCAATTGGCAATAGTTCAGGTTGATTAGAATCGTCTAACGATAGTTTACAATATTTTAGTGCGGGTAAACGAAATATTTGTTTATAAAGGTTAGTTTTATTTTGAACTTGATCTTGACAATTAACTATTAAAGAAGACAAATGAGGTCAGACAAGTAGATATTTGAGAAGATTTTCAAAATATGTTGATTGAATCTTATTAAGAATAAGCGCTTGAAGTCCTATTAATTTTGACCCCATAGAAATTGATGAAAAAACGCGATCAATGATAAATGGATTTGATTCGATGTATGTTAGGTATGATTATCTGTGTATGATAACGTTGAAAAGTTGATTTTGATGCAGATACAAGTTTAATTTTTATGGGAAGAGTTGAACAAGTAAGAGGATTTGTAAATCGAACATTGAGATTGAAGAAAGTTTCATATACATGAAAAAAAATCGAGAACTTCAAAAATTTCATAAATTAGTTCATTAGAAAGATTTTCAAAACGACCGACAGAATTTCTTGATAAAATAAAAAAAAGGTGACATATTAAAACTAAAAAATAAAGAAATCTTCTATCTTGACTGACCTCTTAGAATCAATTGTTACCTTCTTTTTCCTATTATCATCAACAGTATTATTTTGTCGTTTTCTTTGTTCCATAGGAAAATCAAATCAATAATTCCAACTGATATCAAGTAAAAGAAATTGTGCTTTATTGAAAGAAAAATGACATACATGTATAATATTTCTTGGTGTTTTTTTTTTAAATAATATTCTTATCGTACAGAATAGAAAAGAAAAATATTTGTTGACAAAAGAAAGGAGAAAAAGAAAGTTGTCAAGGGAATTGTCGTCATACGCTATCAACTTATATGTTTAAGGCAATTTTTTTTTAAATTTCTGTTTGAGTCAAACATTTATTACGGGATCTATGACCATGGCTGAACAAGTATTACTTGCGTTTTCGATTGATGAGTCAATAGTGGTAGAGACAATAAAGTACACCAACTTATTTCTTTAAAGTAAATATTTCCGAGTGTGATGTGACTTAGTGAAGCGATGGCAATGCAAGTCTTCTTCTCTGAACATGCTTCCATAGAACCATCTAACGAACCCATACACAGACACACTGATTCTTATGTCCAACACCACACACACACTCACTCTGTTTCAATTAGATTTATTTTTATTGTCACAGAGAAAGATCTTCATGAACATTTGAAATTCAAGGAGATTCTGCCAAAGAAAACAACCTTACAGAATCAAATAAAATATAAGCACAAAAAAAAATGAACTGCAAAAGCAGAAGTGAAAATTATTATTTATTGTAAACACATTTATTTTCTTATTGATTAATCATATTTTAACATTAAGATAATTGTAAAACTGCATCATAACATTCATATCCATCTTCGGCAATATATTTTTCTCGAAAAATTTGAAAATTATTTTTTTCATAAAATCGAATTCCTTGTTCATTTTCAGTCAATACACCAGCCCATGCAATTATTCGTTTTTTGCCCAATCGTTTAGCTAAATCAATCATCAAATGAAAAAGTTTGGTACCCAGATGCTGATTTTGATATTCATCTATGATACAAGGTGCGAATTGAATATCACTGTCCTGATTTAGTTCTATACCGTACTTGTGATATCGTTCAATGTCAAATTTTACTAAATCGAAATTGAACTCGTATACTGCGATAATTTTTCCATTCTCGGTGGTGGCTACCATTCGTAATATATCATTTCCATCAATGTCATCACAATATTTTTGTGCACATTGCAAATCATAGCTAGGATAAGTGGCGAATCGACGTGTTTTCTCTGATAAACGGTCGAAGAATTGTTGCAATGCACTAATATCATTACGTAATAATGGTCGAAATACAATTTTTTCTGTACCAGTCGTTTTTTCCAGATAAATATTTTGGGTAACCAGAGTTGGGTTTTGAGCAATTTGACGTAGTGTTAACAAATCTGTCTGCATTTACTACCTTCAAGATTCGTGTCAATGTGAGTCGTCTGCTGTGCTGAATGCCTATGAAAAAGTGTCTTCAACTACCTTACTATTTCGTGCATTGCATACCAAACTTGATTCTTTTTTCTTTCTTTCACAATATTCTCGTGTGCGGCGACAAGCGCAGTTAATTGACAGTGTGATGGAGACATGTGAATTGTGTAATTACACTTTTCTCCGACAGATATATTGTTATTTATCTGGTATATTGGTGACATTTGCTTTATTTTATCTCTTTTTTTCCTCAAATAGCATGTGTTCTCGATTCTTTCATTCTTTTGAGGGCAAACAGAAAGTCTTTGGAGCTAGATAGAGACTTTTTAAGTTGTATCATCACATTTTTTTCATTACTTTTCAAGGAAAAACATACGAATCTCAACGTTAAATTTCATTAATTGATATCAATTGTTTGAATTTTTGTGAATGTCTTTGTTTTTAATGATCATCATATACGTAGTTACATTCTAAATATGTAGTGTGATCTTGACTAAAATATCATATATCATGACTCCATATAAATGAATTTGAATTCCACATGAGAATTTACTACTTTCAAAAGTCAAAAAATGCTGATTTTCTATAATTCTACCTATAGGTTGGCATTTATGATGAGAACATATGAACAGTGTTACTATCAACATAATAAACGATAATTTTTATGATATGTATGACGCTGTAAAACAACCGCTAATATTGGCACAATATTATTTCGTTACTCTCTTTGCACCTCCTTCCGCTGTAAGCTAAAACCTCCGTCTAATATCACTAAGACAAAGTCATAATGTTCTTTCTTGATGGATCTTGGAAAAAAAAGACAGTGTGCTCCTTGTAAATGAAGCTAATGTATGTAAATTTACAAGTTTCTATCGATAACGATGCATGCATACATACGGTGTAGGCATGGGTTGAAGATAATATCCACATTCACATTCAGACAACATTTTAGTACGTCACAAACTTTCAATGCAACAGAACAAAAGATAATTTTTTTTTCCTGTAGTTTGTCTTTGCTTTGTTGAAGTTGATTCATTTCAATTTTTTTCTAGGTAAACGATAAGAAAAGTGCAAGATACTGTTTCATGACTTCTCATTCCTCGACAATCAATGAATATCAACTTAATGATGGCTATTCTGTTCAACTTGAACTTGAGTTAAGGAGTTCAATTACTTTGAAGCTTTGCCATAATTATGTGGTAAGAGGATCTGTTTCATTTAACGACGATCGTTGTTCGTTACTCACACATCGACTCTGTGAAACGACAAATGACTTTTATGAATTATTAACTGATTTTTTGTCAACAACATCATCATCTACTAATTCTAAGATGTGCGTTGTAAGCGATGATCATCTCAATATGTCATTTCCAATATACTTTGGTAGTCGAAATCTAACAAAAATCTGGTCGTTTACCATTGAATTTCTAAAGTTACCGTCGATTGATAGTAATAGTATGGAAGAGATTACATTAGACCCTCTTGATTGGACCGAAACAAGATTATTAGGACATCAAGTCATGGATGATATGATCAATTATTTGCGAGATCTTCGTCTTCGACCTACATGGCGTCCTGTACCATTAGCTGTACAAGAATCATTAGCACAACAAGATATCCCATTGAGGGGTCAAAATCCATGGCAAGTCTATGATGAAGTTCGTTCGCTTATTTTACCGTATCCATTGGGTAACATTCATCCTTGCTTTTGGGGTTGGGTTATTGGTACAGGTTCGCCTATTGGAGTTTTGGCTGAATTAATTACGGCAACTATGAATAATCAATCATGGGGTGGTAATCAAGCGAGTATTTATTTAGAACGTCAAGTATTGAGATGGCTCAAAGTTATTATGGGCTTTCCAAATGATGACACGTGTTCAGGGGCACTTGTGAGTGGTACATCAGTGGCAACGATGGTAGCATTAGCTGTAGCTAGAAAAAAATTCCATGATCGTAAGATGAAAATCTATTGTTCAACAGATGCACACAATTGCATTATACGAGCAGTCGATATTCTTGGCATTGGAAAAGAAAATATAGTTATCATTCCAACTAATAAACAACGGCAAATTGATTTACAGGTATATTAAAGATAAGACAATGGAAACTTGTCCAAATGTCTTGTATTTTTCTATTTCAGATCTTGGAAAAATCAATCGATCTAAGTTTTGGTGGAGTTATTGTTGGCAGCGCAGGCACAGTAGGTACTGGTGCTATTGATGATCTTAATGGATTGGCTGATTTATGTGCTCGTCATCCTAATGATCTCTGGTTTCATATAGATGGTGCTATTGGAGCAGTAGCTTGTTGTTCGACACGTCTTCGACCTCTATTGATCGGTCTCGAACGAGCTGATT